CCCCTCCCCCGCACACGCACACACGCACACACGCACATACGTCGCCCCGCCCCCCTTCCCAGACATCGAGAATGCTGTCTCGCTACCTCTCAGGACATGCGACCAGCACTGCCCTGTTGCGTCTGGGACCGCGCCGGATGACCGCCGCGGCCCTGTGCGCTCGGCCACTGACCGCCATTGCCAGCGCAACTGTGACAACTCGCCGGGCCTCGACCACCCCGGCTATCCCCCCCTCAATGACCATGATCAAGCCCGGTGCCCATTTGACCGATCGGCGCCTTGCCATGGGTGTGGCCCCCTCGAGACACTATTCGTCCTCCGCTCCCGGGGCCGGTGAGGGTCCATCCGGCCCGGCGCCGGTTTTCCGCCGTCGAATCTCCACCCTCCTGGCTCCCTTCCACCGGAATGTCGATCCTACCCTGTCGAAGAGCCACCAGATGCTGCTTCGGGCTGGCTTCATCTCTCGGGTAGGTGCTCCTCCTGCCAGCCTCCCCCCTCCCCCTCCCCCACTACCATCACCAGATGCATGCAACCGCCCGTGCCAAGGCGCCATATGCCCCCTCCACCACTAACACACCCGAGCATCGCCGCAGTCTGGCAATGGCCTCTATTCGCTGCTCCCTCTGGGATATAGCGTGCTGCGGCAGATCGAGGCGGTTATTGATGACGAGTTGCAGAAGGCCCAATGCCACCGCCTTTCCCTGCCTCTCCTTCAGTCCGATGCCCTATGGCGCAAGACCGGACGCTGGGATACCACCGGCCCGGAGGTGTGTTTGGATGTCTGTGCATCCCCCATTCCTCACATGCTGTCGAGTCGCTCTACTCCCCTCCTGCCGTTGCCCATCGCGGTGGCTGTGCCTAACTGCTTTCCAAAATCCCGCGCTCAGCTCTTCCGTTTGAAGGACCGCCACCATAATGACTACTGTCTGGCACCGACGCACGAGGAGGAGATCACCTCGCTGGTGGCCGCACATCAAGACAGCTCGGCCACCTCCCTGCGCTTGTATCAGATTGGTGCGTGTGTGAGTGTGAGTGTGAGTGTGAGTGTTTGTGTGTGTGCATGTACATGCACAAACATCGCTCCTACATGGCAGCTGACATCCCAGCAATGCAGGCCAGAAATTCCGGGACGAAATGCGTCCCCGCTCGGGGCTCCTCCGCTGCCGCGAGTTCGTCATGAAAGACCTGTACACCTTCGATGCGTCGCCAGAGCAGGCGGCTGTCACGTATGACGAGATCTGCGCCAGCTATGCGCGCATCCTCCAGCGACTGGGCCTCGGGGACCATGTCAAGGCTGAGGCCGATACTGGGGCCATTGGCGGCAGCAAGTCCCATGAATTCCATGTCCTCCATGATGGTGCGCTGTCTTCCAATGTGCTGGGGCCGGGTGGTGGCGTCCCGCACTGGGTGTGCTGACGAGCAACCGAACAATCATCATCCCCTGCTGCCCTGTAGCCGGTGAGGACACCATCATCAGCTGCAACCAGTGCTCCTATGCAGCCAATGTGGAGAAGGCGGTTGGCCGGCACCCGCGCACGGACGCCGTCCCGATCACGGGCAGCCTGGACGGGCTGATGGAGCGCGAGCAGCTGGAAGCCCTTGACCGCCTGCGCCTGCCGGCCGGCTTCGACAAGCTCCCTCTGGCTGGTGGAAGCGCCTCGGAGCTGTCTCTGTCGCTGGTGCACTTCGAGCTGCCGCGCAATGCCGGACCCGAGCATCCGCTGGCCTCGCACGTTCCTGCCGCCGGGGTGGAGCACAGCTCCAGCGGTGCCATGAGCCCCTGGGCCAATCGCCCAGCCGCGCTGGTTATTCATCTGAAGGAAGACGAGATCAATCCCCTGCGTGTTAATGTGCGTCGCCCTTTCCCCTGTCTGTCCCTCTTCCCCCCCCCCTCCCCTCCCTTTCCTGGGCTTCACCCGCCCAGTGCAATCGCACTCCCCCCACCACGCCTGCTAATCATAACCACTCCCCTCAACAGACCACCCTCAATGTCAACAATGCCGAGGTTGTTGGCCAGCATGATACCTTCTGGTCGACTCTCATCACCCGCTACGGGCGCGATACGTTCCCCATTCTGGTGGACCGTAATGTCTTGATCGGTGATGATACGCAGGCTGCCGAGTCGGAGAAGGGGGACGGCGCCCCGCTGGTGATTGGCGATCTGGCCATCGCCAGCCCGGGAGACCAGTGTGCTTGCTGCGGCACGGGTGTACTTGGCCATCGCCGTGGCATCGAAGTTGGTCATGCCTTCTACCTAGGAACAACCTATTCGGCACCGGTGCGTGAAGCCGGCCGCTTTCCCCACTTTCGTGCCCTTTCCTTTTGTTCCCTTCCTCTTTCTGCCCACTTCGTTCTGTCGAGCTGTGTGTCGGCTTCTGAGCACTGACCCACCGTCAAGCTGGACCTCGGCGCGTCGGAGAAATTCGCCTTCATGGGCTGCTATGGTCTCGGCGCCACGCGCCTACTGGCGGCTATTGCCGAGGTGAATCACGACGCCAAGGGCTTCGTGTGGCCTGAGGAGGTGGCCCCCTTCCGGGCGACGATCATTTCCACCGAGGCCAATCAGGAGGCTGCCAACCACCTCTACGATATGCTTGGCCCTCGTGGCGGATCAGCCCTCTATGGTGGCGCCATCCTTGATGACTCGGGTCAGCGCATTGGGTACGATGTCTCTCTGCCTCCACTCCCTTCACCATGCCGGTACACGTCCGACTGATCCTATTTCGACATATGCACGCACACACACACACACAGCTTCCAATTCAACCGCTCAATGGCCTCGGGTATCCCCTACAACATCGTTTGCGGGCGCATGATCGAGCATCAGGAGGCTGGTCGGTTTGGCGGCTTTGTGGAGATTGAGTGCCGTCGTACTCTGGAACGCCGGTATGCTGCCTTTGGCGACTGGGACAGTATTGCGGCGGTCGTCTTCTCCGGACGCGGGTTCGCCGCTGCGCCACATCTTCTTGCCACCCCCCCCGCCACTGCCTAGATTCGCCATCCCGGGAAACGTCATCCTGCTCCTGTGCACCCCTGGGAGATCGCCCGCAAATAGAGACCCCTGTGTTCTTCTGCATTGTCCCCCTTCGACATGCCTGGCCCGTATGTCGGAGGGCGGGCCTGAGGGAGGCGCGAGACAGGAAGCAAGAAGGATCGGGCCCGAGCGTGGACCGATCACCAACAGGAGGGGGGCGGGGAGGGGGAGATGGACATGGGGGGCGCTTGCTGATGATGGAGCCGCCCCGTGCTTTCGGGGCAAGACAGCGCTGTGGGTCATACGTGGGCACTTGGCCGATTCATGTCGCCCTGCTTTCCGGCATGTGTGGGCTTCTCTCGCCAGAGGGGGCTGCCTCCGAAACCCGGCGGGGGGGGGG